AAGTTTTTTAAACTAGTGCAAATTTTTTTTTACATGCATTGAGCCGTGCGGTCTCCAAACTGTACTCTCTTATGAGTGCGTAGAAAGAAGGAAGTGTGAGGGAAGTTGCAAATGATAAAATCTATATTGTATTAGACATAGACCCCCTTCGACCGCTTTCGCACCTGTTCAAAAAAGAAAAAAGAAAAAGGTGGCTCGTTTGTTGTCCGTGCTTAATCTTGTTCTTCAAGAGCCCGAGTAGTTCATGTTTCTCTTGCATAAAAGCCGTGAGGTCATTTCTCGCAGTCTAAGCTCGAGAGATGAGTCGAGGGTGCGGATCGAGGATAAAGTGCGAGAAAGAGAGTCAGAATGCCGCGCCGTACGTTTTGCAGAAACATGGAGGTGAATGTTAGTTCCACGGCGACGGCAGTGTTGATGTAGAGCTGCCAGATGTTGCCCCGTTTGAAGAGTGGCCCGAGACCCAGCCACACGAAGACACCGATCAAGTAGATGGTGAGGGCGGGGAGGGAACCAGTTGCGAGGGCTACGGTATCACATGCTCTATCGAAAAGATTGGCCTTCCCTTCTTTCCTGCTTTAGTCACGGGTGAGAAGCGAAGAGGACTTCTTGAACTTGGATGTTTGCAAATCCTTGGGTTCCTGTAATTGGGGAGGCGACAGCGAGCGAACCATCTGAAGACAGCTGGCGGAACGTGACCTCATCTCCGCAATGAGACGAGGAATGAGTGCGTTGTGCTTGCTTGTTGTCGCATCAGCAGCGTATCGGAGACGTGGCATTGAATCGAGGATGCGTTGCATGACGATTTGCCAGACGTCTGTTGCGCCGAACACGACGCCGAGGATCGTCCATACTAGCAGCAGTGCTAGGGTCCCGAGGAACACGAGCCGGGATCCAGCGATGCTCGTGACGCTGCCTAATATTTCGAACGATCTTGCCTTTTGCAGAAGTTCGTGGAATCGAGAAGGTGACGTGGGTATTTGTGGTGGAGGTGGTGGTTTGTATTGTGGGAGGGAAGCCGAGGAGAATCCCGAGGACCTGATTGGCGTGCTGTCACCGCTGCAGGTCGAGGACTCCGAGGGTATCTGGGAAGGCGCCGAGAACTCCATTGTTGAATGGAGAGGTGGACTCCATCTCGCTCTCCTCAGATGTAGGCATCGTTTCCTAAAACTATCCATCTCCTACCCGCCCAACGCGATGCAATGGAGAAGTCGTAAATGAAAGCAGGCAAAAATAGAGTCTTGCGCCAGCGAGAGCGAGATATAAAGACACAATAAGATTATTTTAAATCAAAAAAGTAACTGGAGAATCGAATATCAAATTTTGGAAGTGGCGTTGGGAAATTTATCGGTAAGAACGCGAAGGCGTTGAACCGGCGCGGGTGCAACACGATTTATCAGATCTGGTTGCAGCACTCGACCTGCAACCATTGATCGAGACGACAAATGTGGGAAGAGGCACCATCTGATATACAAGATGTCTCCTGAGTCTCCTCGTTGACTTCTTTTCGCACCAAGGAGTCCCGGCCAATCGACGTTGTGGAGTTCGTCATTACTAGTTTTTGCTGCGTTTTGGCTTGTCCGAAGTTTCGGTCCATCCTATTTTGGGTGACGCGCTGACTTCACGTCGGATGAGATATACAGGGAAAGTAGCGCTGATGCGGAGTGAACAGAAGTGTGTTGTGGGTGAAGCGTTTGATTCGGCACTTTGGGAGCAAATATGAGTTTTTGTCGGAACTTGCTTACGTAAGAGCTTGCGCCATTGCTCGTCGTACACCTAAGCGAACACGTGACTACCCCTCACCAAAACCTATACTTCACCGCTTTTTTTCCCACAAACCACCATTTTTCTTCTTTAATTATCATATAATAATGGAAGAATCAGACTCAGACTCAGAAATCTCAAATATCCTCTCTCCAGACGCTCTTAAGGATCACAAACCTAATGAGAACTGGAAGACTCCCGTTCGTTCTACCGTTCGCTCCCTACGCCAGCAAGGGAAGAGCTATGGCCAAATCAGGGAGGTCACAGGCCTTACTAGGTCCACAATTCAGCATATTGTCAAGGGCCCTACCTCCCGTACCACACGGAAAGGCCTCGCTACCAAGCGCCCCGTTCTCAAGCAAGCTGAGGTAAAGCGTATTTTTCGGTTCGTTTCTGAGTCTTGGACCAATCGCATTAAGTCTTGGGGACGAATCAAGCACGAGCTTAAGCTAGAAGCCTTAATTACTACTATTCGCCGAGTAATGAAGGAGCATGGATATCGCCGCTGTATCGCTTGCCGTCGTCCTTTTATTTCCAAGTAATAAGCCAAACGACGGCTCGATTTTACGATAAAATACCGGTGGTAGGGCACAGTAGATTAGAAGAAGGTTATATGGAGTGATGAGGCTACATTTGAGACTGGGAAGAGAGGGAGAATTTGGGTCACACGTCGGCCAGATGAGAAGAATCACCCAGATTATATATAATCTGTGTATAGGAGTAGGAGGGTGAGTGTGATGGTGTGGGGAGCGATCGGCTGGGATTAGAAGTCCCCGCTTATTTTCTTGGTAAAAGAGCCAGGGAAGAAGGGGATTTGTAGCATAGCCTACTTAAACCAAGTCCTAAATCCTGTCGTTTTCCCTTGGTTCGATTCCCTGTCCGCAAAGCAGAAGGAGGAGTTTTTATTTATGGAGGACGGGGCGAAGATCCACAAGGGTGTAGCAAAGCTACCACGAAAGCTACGTGGATTACGTGGGTTCAATTAGCCACCCTCTTCTCCTGATTTAAATCCAATTGAGAAGGTCTGGCGATGGATGAAAAATGAGATTACAAAGTTGGAAACTGTTCCTACCTCAATTGAGGATATGAAGGAGGTCTTACAAGAGCTATGGAACGAAGTTGATCCAACAGAATGGCGATATTTGACGGAGAGGCTTACTTGTAAGCTAGAGGACGTGATTGATAGTAAGGGTATGGCTACTGTACACTGAAGGCTTAATAAATGTAGTAGTTTAATTATTCTGAATATCGCATTGAAGTGTGGGCTGAAAAATCGCGATTTTGGTGGGGTTAGTGGGGTAAATCACGTGTACGACGAGCAATGGCGCAAGCTCTTACATTGTTTCCGCCTCAATCTGACAATATGCGATGCTAGCAGGACCTCACGATGCATCAGATTGTATGGTCCTGTCCCTTCCTGTTCTCCCTCTGCCTCTTCTCCTTTGCAACAACCTTCCTTCGTTTCTTCCATGCTCGATTGACATTGCCTCTGTTCTCCCAAAACCATTTCTGGAAATCACTCTCTGGCTCAGCCTCCGTGTCCTTTTGTTTCCCTTTCGGTTCGCGGATTGGTGAACTTGTTTCCCCGTCGTCATCCTCGTCATCATTATCCGTAGGCCACACAAATCTCTTGTTTGGATGGGCGGTGTCTGGAGTTGGGGCTGCGCTGCGGATACCACGGAACTCGAAATCTTTTTGTGTAAAAGGGGTGAGTGGGACTTGAAGATGAGCTTCTACCGCAATGTCTTCTTCGTCGTTGTCTCCGAAGAAATTGAATGAGGGGCCGGCTTTGGGTGGTTCCTTGGGGTTTTGTTTGTAGAGAGCTTCCAGAGGGTGGACGGAGGATGCGATTGGGGTGGATGTCATTGAGTCTGGGATTTTGATGCTCAAGACTGCGCCGGATAATGACTGTGGGCGGGACGTAATTGCTGATTGTGGTTCCTCGGGCTCGTCCTCTGATTCTTCTTCTGATGACTCGGACGATGTGGAAGCTGCTTTGGTAACTTTCGAGGTTGATGCAACCTTGACATGATCGCATTGCTCCTCTGATGAACTATCCTCACTTGAACTTTCCTCGCTGCATTCTTCGTCGACTTTGGTGATCGACATGCTCGATTCCACGGCCTTAGAATCCAACTCCTCCTCAAACAAACTGTCATCACTTGTGTTATCCTCGCTGCCATGCCCGACTTCGTTCGGTGTCTTCAATTCAGCCTCCTTCTCATCAGCTTCTTCGTCTGAGCTCTCCTCCGAACTCCGTGCCTCCAATTCCTCTTTCGCCGCAGGCTTAGATTCGATTTTCGCAGGCTCCTTCCGCATCTTCACAACTTCAACCACATTCCCATCCTCATCAATCCACCCTTTCCCCTCCACAAACTCCACCACACCCTTCGACTTCTTCCCACCCGGCGCCCTCAAAAACGTCGCGTACTTGACTGTCCGCTCAAACTCATGCACCAGCGTTTCCTTCCCTTTCTTCTTGTCCTTACTCTTCTTCAGCTTCCCCTTCGCATTCTCCACTTTATTCGGCGGCAGCACAGTCTTAAACAAGCACTCCGAACCCGTCGTAAACTTGCTCTTCGCCACCTTCTCCTTCTCCTTCCCTTTTCCCTGCCCCTTTATCTCCGTGCTCGGTGTTGTCCACCCCCTCTTCACATGTCTTTCCCCAATAACAATCCCCGGCACTTCCAACTGATCTCTCTTCCGCTTCTTCCTCTCCTTCTTCACCCGCTCTGGCTCATCCTCCTCAACCGTGTCCTCCTTCGGGCGCGCCTTTTCAACCCGCACTTTTGTGCCTTTCAATATCGCGCCGTGAAGTTTCTTCTTTATCTTCTCTGCGTCTGCCATTGGGAGGTCGATGTAGCCGTAAGATTTCTCGGGGAAGGTTTGCAGGCTATGGTAGCTAATGTTGCGGGCACTGGGGAGGATGGAGGCGGGGAGGATTGTCGTAAGGAGAGAGGGGTTTAGAGGTGTGATGTGTAGGCGGGTGTAGCCGAGGTCCGGCTCTGAATTAGACATTATTTAGCCCGTCATTTTGATGCCGTTGTTCAATTGTTGAGGCTGAAGCACCAGAAGCGGTTGTAAACTTCTGGGTAAAATTTCGAGATCTTCGGCTAAACAGCGGTTGCACCTCTCAGCCCCAGCACCAGCCACAAATGATTGGATTGTCAGCCAGTAATTGGCTGACTCGTATAGGTTGAAATAAGGATTTTTTTTAGCAAATCGTTATTGATTTCAATGGGCGCTTGGTCTAGGGGTAGTAAGTTCACCTTGTGTCAGGTGGCTACAGTTGGTCCTAACAAAATCACCAGTGATTTTCGTTTCGCATGCGCTCCAGCATTGTCTATGAAAGGTCGTGGGTTCAATTCCCACAGCGTCCAAAGGATTTGATTTTTTTTTTTTTTTTTTTTTTTTGAATTTGACATCAGTTTTTCCCTCCCCCTTTTTTCTTAGGGGCGGCCGCCCCCTGAAGCTCATTTTAGCCGAGCTGAGCTATCCTCACACCGAGTTATTCCTCTTCCACAAATAAATGAATTTTGCCTCCTATACTAAGAGGATATGTCCTAAAGATGGAGGAGATGCTTGTTGTACATCCCATGTCCTGATTTTCGATAATAATAGTCATAAACTAGTGCAAGAAGGCCTGAAGCAGCGTTGAGGCTAGCTAACCTTTCCTTCGGTCCTCTTACCGCCTTGATCCCTTATTCATCTACTAAGAAGGAATTTTCATAATTGCTGTTATATAACGCACATCACAGTGTTTTTTAATGATTATGAACCAGTGTAAGAAAGTCTGTGTGGGACCTCCAAATTGCTAAGCTTTCCTCTTAGCTAACTGCTATTACCTTAATCCCTCCTCTATCTTCATTACGCAGAAGATAGAGATTCCCACGGTCTCTAGAATTCTTTTATTGCATATCGTATTTTCAATTGCAACAGTTTAAAAGTCCTACGGACTGGAGTGAGACCGGACCAGCTCATATTTCCTGCGAGTTATTTCTACCTCAGCTTGTCGTTCAACTCTTTCCAAGGATTTCGTACGAATATCTCACCTTCTATGACATTCTCTATCAAACTCAGTGCATGAGAGATAACCGAATCATGAAGATTTGCATCTGAATCGAGTAGAAGGCTAAAAGGAGGTTCGGCCAAGGCCAAACGAGGACTCCCTAGGCGAGGATCGAGAGGTACCGCACGGTGAGCAGTGTGCCATCTGTGCTTCATTATAAGGTTTATAACTTATTCAAGGACTCCAAGTCTATAATTTGAAAACCTATGGCATCATGTGCTCGTAATAGGGATTCAAAACACATGGCAAACTTCCTTATCTCTCAACCAACTTTGAAACTTTCGCGGGCGTGGAGGATTGCTATAGCTCCAGATACATAGCACTCATCTTAAGGGGCTCGTAAACAGAAACGCGGAGGCACAGAAGATCTCTTTGGTAGTTCTGAAGTGCTGCCGCAGAACAGCAATTAGTCTCTCACACCAACCCACTTGAGGTTCTCATGCTTCCTCTAGTTGAAGATTGTCTTCGCAAAATGCTATATCTAAAAGAACTTCAAAATGAAGATTTCTTGCCAAGCGTACTGCCAGCTCTTGTATAATTGCGAGTTATGCGACTTCGAGGAAATTTCCAAACAACTTGCTCACCTTCTTAGAATTATACCATATAAAATAGCCAGTTCGAATTCAGAATTTTGACAAAGACATTTCTATTTATATCTTTGAACCTGAGTCGCTGCTGTTGTAGCTTAAGTTGAGAGGGGGTAAACCTGGGCTGGGTTGAGTAAGTAATTGCTTGGAGCTAGGTGGAATAGGGCTTGAGCGCGGAGGGCAGCTATTTTTGCTCTTAAAAAGGTAGCTCGGTTATGATATTATATTAGACAATAATTTATTTAATGGTGTGATTTGCCTAAGTAATATAGAACTTTTTGCAGAGTAAGGCTAGGAAGACCTGTAGAGCTTTTGTGGTGGCAAGTTTCATACGTGATGTCGATCATTGCTGAACTTTGTTGCTGAGGCTGCACATAAAACATTGAGTATCCGGGGCTGAAAAGAGTATACGGCCTGTAAACTTTGCGCAAACGCTCTCACTGACGAGTGACAGAACTGCGGACCAAAAGCGGCTGGCGAGGGGTTGTAAGAAGACATCCTGAATGAGGAAGGGAAGTGAAGCTTAAAATGACTGCCGAGAGCGCTCACTTAGAGAGGAGACGTGTCGCAAACTAATTCCTGACCAAAGTACGCAGTCTGGAGCAACGTGCTGCCGCGTGGGAAGTTACAAGGGCACGGTTTCGCCCCTTGGCTTCGTATCTCTGTCGTACTCAAGAACTCCACGTGTATTCCCGACGCCTGGGTTGCCAGTTGCCATGTCACATATTAATTCATTGAAATTTGCTGCGCCCCTCCCAAAGAGTTCATGAGAGCAGGTAAGGTAGTGACTATTATAACTCGGCCTGCGAAACCCATATTCCTCTATTTGCAGATATTAGCATTCAGCACTTTTTCACCACGACAGACATGAAATCCATAGTCTCCACATCGAGAATTAGGCTACCCATTCTCATCGCCTGTGGGATATTAGCCGAGTAAATGATGTAGTGCTGCGTGCTATTGGAGTAGAGGATGAGAAAGGAGATGCATGCTCGCTTAAGCTAGCCAAGGACACACATGTTTCCTAAACACCACAGAAATCCCCAAAAGTTGGTGGTGCTAATAGCATATTAAAGACTATCTCAAATCCTGCAGCCGTTAGATGACACTGGGGACCCCTCTCAATTGACTGTGGTCCAAGAAACATATGATTTTATTCATCATCCTTTATTAGCATTCTGCAGAGATTTTCCGGTGCCAGAATAATCTGCCCTCTTCCGTGAGGAGTAAAGTAAAACACCCTAAAAAGATACAATGTGCCAGAGAAATCCGAATGTAACCACGCGGTGAGTATTGGGTCTCATGTATGTCCATTCATTTTTCTGCGGCAACATCGCTGACGGTCAATTTACTGTGGAATTGGTGGCATTTGCTGGATTCCGGCCACCTACTTCTGCGTTCGAGCACCGGTTCTATGCCTGGCAGTACTAGCGGGAACCCTTTTCAGCTTAGGCTACTGTTTCCGTACTGCGGACCGATGTTTGGCAATTTATTTATCAATGGCACTGGATCATGAAGAGCTGTGTTCTGGCTTGTTTCGCCATCTGCTGTTTTGATCTCGTCCTTATTGTTCTCCTCGCCGATAAATCGTGGTACAGGCGTGACATAGCCCAAGCGGATCAGCTTCAAAGGGTGGGCAGATTATCCTGAGTATTTGCGTTCTGGCAAATTGGGTGCACGATGGTTACTTCCTACCCCTCAGGACTGCCTACCTTCGCTTGTCGTCCGTTTTCATTAAGCCCATCATGATTCTAACCCTAGTTTATCTATAAGAATTTAATCTGCACCTATTATTTACTTGTAGTACCAATCAGTCAAATCGCAGGATGTCAAGTTTCATGTGGTCTATTAGCATTATTATTACTTCACTCCCTCTATTTGCAACCCCAAAATCAGTCGGGGGTATGGCTTTAATGCCAAAGCCTTATGTACCCGTACCTGATACCCATCGTCGATGTTTCTCTAAGCGAACTCTTCAACCATTTCTTCAACGACTTCCTCTCAAATCAATACATCTGAAAATATGAGGGAATCTTTAAGCGAGAGATACGACTCTGGACCAATTATGTTGCTACATTCTTCACAATCTCCGGCCTTACAATCGTTAGTCAAGCAGTAAAAAAGCCTCTCCCACTGCTCGGCCTTCGTCATGGGATGGGGAATGTACGTTTTTGGAGTTATGCTAGCGTCTGTGGCCATCACAACCTATGCTTTGGACTCATACCCAACAAGATCTGAAGAAGTTCCCTAATTCCTCAGCCTTGCTCGCGTTTACAGAGGCTTCACCGTCGGGTACTTTCAGCTACGGTGGGATGAGAAGGATAGATACGGTATTTCTTTCGGCGTTCAAGCGTGTTTGTTGGCCGTCGCATTGGCGAAATCTATCTCCACAGATTCAAGCGAGCATGAGAGCAAAGGGTGGCACTCTCGCTCAGTTTCAAACCAATTGTTCTTGCAGACCGGGTTTGTTAGCTGCATAATTATTCTTTTCCTGTGGTTTCCCATGATGAGAACCAAGCACCAACCGCTGGATGAATTTGCTGGCTTCCCAGTCTTTCATCATCATTTGAAGGCCGCATTGTTACTCCCCTAATAGCTCAATATGCCTGTGATAGTTGTTGTGTTGGTTAAAGCATAGAAGTGGGTCCTTTACAAACCACTGACTCATCTGGTTAAATTAGCCATTTAGTCCAGTTTCTAGCGAACTTCCACAGCTACGAGGAGACAATAAAATTTCGTTTAGACTACCCATTCTTTTCAGTGATCGGGTGGCTGCAGAGATCTATTAATATTCAGAAGTGCATTTAATCTCAACTCCTCCATATTGAGTCGCCGAATTTGCTATTTACTGCAACAGGTAAAGTCCACTAATAGCGAGCGGGAAATTTTCAGAGGAACCCCTCCTACACTCTTATTTTTGAGATTACTAGACCCAGAACTAACACTGGAGTGACTGGACCGAGGGAGGGTGGTCCCGGATCTTGTCTGCTGATATCTCAATGCAAACGTTCCGAGTTCTTCGCTTTCCCCCACCCCTCCGAATGCCCCAAGAGACACTTACAATGGCGCCAGCCACCTTGCCACCCGGTTTGTGTAGTAGTTCTTATAAATCGACTTTTGATAACCCGAAATGCCATGTAAGGAATTACCCCGCATACCCCGCACCAAGTTGCCGAACTCCAAGTAATGCAAGTCTGTGATTCAAAATAAAATGCCAAGTGTTTGACGGAAACGGCAGAATTCTCGGCCAATTGAAAATCCACTAAGGGGTAAACACCACCAACTCGATATTTCCAGATACCTCTTACTTCGTAATTGGGATTTAGCGATGTAGGGTAAGCATATCTTTCTCTGTACAAAGGTAATAAAATGCCAATGAGCACTAATGAGTGCTTAACTTGCAAGAGGGAATAAAGCAAGTCCTTGGAAGGTGCTTGGTCTGCCTACTCTTGAAGAAACAGCCACAATTATCTTGCACTCAATATTTACTTCACCTCGTACGGAGTATGCTTGTGGCTTTTGGGAGGTTACATGACTCAGGAAGTTATGTTCTAGGAAAACGGCAAGACGAAATGTCCATCGCACAAGCAGCTGTAATATAGGTGTTGGAATTTTAGATTCTGTCACTTCGAATACCGGTAGATTATCCTCCAGAGAGTGGCAAATAAAGGTGGACTTATCGGGCCGACTTGTTGGGAACCAGAAGTTCAAGGTTCCCCACTTC